AGATGCATCAGAATTTCCGGGGACTGCTTGCAAACCCGACATCGAATGTCTGGAACTTGCAATCCCATAACACGACTTCGATAGACTAGGGTGTTTATCACACCATCTTGGCAGGCACAAATGAAACCCTCAGTTTCGGACATCAAGCCAGCTGACTTCAAGAAAGAGAATATCAGCTGGACGGAGAGACCCAGCTATTATTATTATTATTATTTTTTTTTTTCTCGTGAATGAGATCGCTGGATGATCCTCGAGGGCTCCGACTTCACCTCGAAGACCACCCAGCAAGCTAAGCGATACAAACAAGTCCTAATCGCTCTGCAGTAGTGCTCCCTCCAACCAGAGGGTGAGCACTACTGCAGTCCAGAATCATGATGTCTAAGTAGTCGAAGGGACCCAAGAATGACAGCCTTTTGCATCTGGCCAGCCAGTATTAAGGCATTGCGCCTGCAGGCTGGAATCACCTCAAGCGCAGATACAAAAGACTGTTTCATGCCGCCAAGAGAGCCAATGATCAGGACGATCAGCCTGACCCTAAACCCGCGGTTCAACTGACGCAGCTCAAACAGGAGCAGCTGGCATTTGAGCCGTTTCTCCTCTTCCTTCGCAGATATATTGCTCTCGACTGGCGCCGAGATCTCAATCACGTAGATGACTTTGTCTTCAAAGTCGAAGAGGACGATGTCAGGCTTCGTCGCAGCGACGGGCCTGATAGTCACAAACGAGAAGTTCCAGTAAATCTTACCGGTTCTCTATCCGGAACTTGCAATCCCATAACACGGCTCCTATAGACCAGGGTGTTTATCACGCCATCCTGACACGCGCAAATGAAGCCCTCGGTTTCGGACATCAAGCCAGCCGACTTCAAAAATGACAAAGGGAAATGGGAATGATTATTATTATTATTATTATCATTATTATTATTATTATTATTATTATTATCATTTTTTTACACTCGTAAATGAGATCGCTGAACGATCCTCGAGGGTTCCGACTTCACCTCGAAGACCTCCCAGCAAGCTAAGCGATACAAACTTTTCCTAATCGCCCTACAGTAGTGCTCCTGCCAACCAGAGGGTGAGCTCTACTGCAGTCCAGAATCGTGCTGTCTAAGTAGACGGAGGGATTCAAGAATGACCGCCTTCTGCATTTGGCCAGCCAAAATGAAGGCTTGACGCCTATATGCAGGGATGGTATTTAGCGCAAATATGAATGACTCTTTCATTCCCCCAAGAGAGCCAATTATCAGGACAACCAACTTTACTTTAAATCCCCGATTTATTTGACGTAGCTCAAACAGGAGTGGCTGGTATTTGAGCCGCTTCTCCTCTTCTTTCACTGTGATGTTGCTCTCAGTCGGAGCTGAGAACTCAATGACATAGATGATTTTGTCATCAAAATCGAAGAGGACGATGTCAGGCTTCGTCGCAACGATTGGCCTGACGGTCGCGAACGAGAAGTTCCAGTAAATCTTACACCTCTCGTTCACGACAATGGACTCAATATCTCCTGGAGCGTAAGACAGCACCGGCGTCCTGTCTATCCCATAAGAGTACCGCAAATGATAATACAGCACTCTCAAAGCCGCATTATGATGGTGGATATAACTCGTGATTGCATAAGTCGGACAAGCCGACAAAAGAGGCATCAGAGTTTCCGGGGATTGCTTGCAAATCCAACATCGAGTATCCGGAACGTGCACCCCCATAACACGACTTCGATAGACAAGAGTGTTTATCACGCCATCCTGACATGCGCAGATGAAATCCTCAGTTTCGGACATCAAGCCAGCTGACTTCAAGAAGGCGAATGTCAGCTGGACAGAAAGACCCTGCTCTTCCACATGGCGGAAGAATATACCATTACGGGCCTATCAACCCGTATCGTGTTATTATTATTATTATTATTATTATTAGGTGTATGAATTAATCCTCGGCCTTTTTTCGACAACTCTGACATTTATTTATAAGAAAATGAATACGGATCTAATTTTAAAAATAATCACCGACATTTTGCACGCATTTCTCCCATCTATCGGGCAATTGTCGGATTCCGGCTCGGAAGAAAGATGGTAGTTTTGACTGGATGAAGTCATCATTGCTCTGCCGGACTTCTTCAGAAGATTGAAACTGGGTATCCACTAGGTGATGTTGTAGCGCCCGAAAAAGGTGATAGTCAGAAGGCGCAAGGTCTGGAGAATACGCCCCATGTGAGAGAATTTCCCAGCCCAACGTGGAGATAACTTTCAGGGTTTCTTTTGCCGTATGTGGTCGCGCGTTGTCCTGCCGCAAAATCACTTGCCTCGTACCACTACCATAAAAGGTCTCTTTTCCTCAATAGCATCACTCAATTTTACCAGTTGGTCCTGATAACGCTTAGCAGTGACGGTTTCCCCCTGGTCGAGTATCTCATAATAGATTACACCTTTGGAATCCCACCAAATACACCACAATAATTTTTTCCCGTGAATGTTTGGTTTTGCAGTGCTCGTTGACGGCCCCTCCGGATAAACCCACGACTTTCGCCTTTTAGGATTGTCGTAAAAAATCCACTTTTCATCCCCAGTCACAATTTTATGTAAAAAGTCTTTTTATTTTAATCTGGTCAGTAGGCACATTGCAATTTCACAGCGTCGACTTTTGTTTTCTGAGGTAAGATGATGGCACACAACGACCTTCCTTCTGTATCCTCCCAATTCTTTTTAAACGCACCGAAATAGCTGGTTGAGTCACTCCAAGAGTATCAGCAAGCTCCTGTTGTGATTGACAGGGATTTTCATTGAGTAAGTTGTCCAACTCCTCCTCCTCAACTTTTTTTGGTTGCCCAGGACATTCCTCATCCTGGAGATCAAAATTTCCATCCCGATTTTTTTTAAACCACTTTTTACATGTGCTATAAGATTCAGCACTCCTTCCCAAAGCTGAACGAATCATTGCTTGTGTTTCTGCGGCAGTTTTTCCATGTTGGAAGGTGAAAAGAAGGCCGTGCCTCAAGAGCTGCTTGTCGAACGACATTTTCATTCACCATGTTTTTTGAGGTTGTGTTAATCAAACCACAATCGGACTTCAGTGGTTTGATAGTTCACAGATGGCGCTTCAAAACGTCGTTTATTGCGGGCAATTCTTTCAATTCAAATAGGTGTTCTGATTAATTGAATCTAAGAGTCGAGAATTAATTTATACACCTAATATTATCATTATTATTATTATTGTCATTATTATTATTATTAATATTAAATAATGAATATTAATAATAATCAATAATAATAATTATCGCAATTATTTATCATTAATCCTAAATTAACAATGCAAAAGGTTTTTTCCATGTTTCATTGTCTTTGAATCATCAATCGCACTTTTTTCACTGTTTGGCTAAAAAAACAGAATGGGTCGTGCGATATCAACCAAAATCGAACCAGGACTAAATTAGATGAAGACACATCGATCGCGATATTGATCAATTATCGATGAACGGTCATTCGTGAGAAATCTTTAACGATGAATTTGGAGACATACATATTTACACACACACAGACATGTTTCTGGAAATGACTGAAAATGCGTCTATAGACCTTGAAATGCAACCATTTGATGAAAAATCGAAAATCGATTTTCGGGGTGATTTCAATAATTGTCCCTATCGGGAAGTTAATAAAGTTAACCAATGACAGTATTGCTGGAGTGGAATGATTATAACGTAACCATTGGTGGATCACTTCTTCGAGAACTTCATTAATATCTTAGTTGAATTCAAAAATGTTTTCACAACAAGTTAATTTCAATACTAGAGGGGGATAAATGCAGGGAGAAAGGGGACTGATGCATTTCATCGGAATCTTCCCCTTCTTTCCATTTCTATCCCCCTCCCCTCCAATTGTTGATAATTTTGTAGCTTCATTAATTAATAACTTGTTAATTATCGCACAGAGCCAAAAATTTAAGTCTTTCATTCTAAAAAATTCTCGTACACGGCGAATCAGAGGTCACTCATGTCAGTTACCCAACGAAATAAAACTGTTTTTGGACTTCACAAGAGTCACGTGTTGTTGTTGTTTTCGAATTTCATTTTTTCATTCTTTTCATTAACAATGGATTCGCAGACTTTCATTTTTTCCTCTGATTTGTTGTAATTGCCTTCCACCAATTTGCCTGTTGGTTTAGAATACGTAACCTGGAATTTTTTCCGTATGACTTCTATAATAAATTATTTTAATGCACTTGATCGGCAAATTTGCAGTTCAATTTCATTGCATTTATTTACCCTGGACTACAAGGTCGATTATTATTATCTTAATTATGTCTTCAACACGGTTGAATAACACATCTCTACCAATTCTGTATAATTTATTTTTCATCCATTTTTACATTAATTTTTTTGCCGCTCCAGTTGTATAAACAACTCTAGTGGCTACCGGCTGTCTTCGGTATCGCTCTTCCTGTGAATAATATATCCAGCTTACCGCACTCGTTATTTATAAAACTATGGCGTCATGGGAAGCATTTTAGGAAGTGGCATACAAATAAATATATGATGTAATTCCCTATATTGTGCTGAGTGCAATGACTTATTCAAAGTGGAATCAATGACCTCGCCGAAATGAGGAGTTCAATGTTGGCTTCTCAATATCTTTAAACATGGATTGTTTTTATTCAGTGTAATTTAAAAAAAGGTCGTAAAACGAGTTGGTTTCCCAGGGAACGCTGACTGGACGACTTCTTCAAGCGATACACCTGCGGATCCAAAAATTTCAGACGAACACCGAAGATGGGAAATCATCATTAATTTCCTTCAATAATTTTCATTTGTTTTGTTTAATTTTGGAACTCAATGATTACACTGAAAGAAAGAAAGCTTTCCTAAGAGCGAAAGAATTCTTGCCACAAACCTTCCTATAAAGATTTTTCTTTCAGTGTGATAGCTTTTTCAATTAACGTAGAATTTCTATCATTAGATTTAATTTGATTTACTTATGAAAACTCAACAAATATCCCAATGCCTACCTGAATTTTCGTCGTTACAACTCAACTCACCAAAAGAAAACTTCAATTAAATTCTTGAAATTGGGATAAATTCACAAATCACAGAATAATGTATGAACTTAGATGACAGATTTAAGAACGCTATTAATTTTTGCGCGAAAGGTCTATTTTTTCGGATTCAAATTTATCCGTGAGCAAATAGTGACGTATAACATGAGAGATAGGGTCAAAAGAGATCAAACGTCGAGCACGTCTGATCAAGCACTGCGGAACCTTCAGTCCATTCGACTTCTGTTCTTTGGCCCCTTCCCTAGTTCACGTGGCAAGCCTACCACCGTACACTAATCTCTCGCATCGCCAACAATGAAGATGATGAGGGGAAAAACACATTTTTTTAAAGAATAACAGCACTCCTAGTCTCTCACGGGTCAACTATAAATGATGCACTAAATCCCCAAAGGCGTCAATGGTCATATGCACAGCGGGGAATGTATGACAAAATGAAAAAACTTTCACATTCATACCATTATATCAGTATCAATTTATGGAAACAAAAAATTCGGTGAGGTTACGATGACCACCGAAATCCATCCGATCTTTTAAATTTGTCCTTATGAATATATAGCCGTCAGTGTTTTCGACAGTTTATTCCATCATTACACAGTCTGACAAAATTTCGCGAAATGGTATGAAAAAATGCTCTAGGATCCTATAGGAAATCCTATGGAGAATTCGAACATTTCCTATAGGATTTTTCTGATAGGATTTCTTATAAAATTTCCTATAGGATTCCCTATAGAATTTCCTATCAAATTTATGACACTAATCCTGACCCTTGTGACCGATTGATTTCGAGTCTCAATTTTGTGTGTTACTTTCTATAGAAAACCCTATAGTGAATTCTATAGAAAATCCTATAGGAAACCCCACCAAAAAAATCATATAGGAAATGTTTGAATTCCCCATAGGATTTCCTATAGAAAATCCTATAGGATATGTTATAGGATATCCTATAGGAAATTCTATAGGATTTTTTCATATGTGGCGACGCTGGCGAGAGATGAGATTAATTGCATTAGAAAGATTCAATTCCGCAGATTCTGCATCCGTTAACAGAATTCTTCTAGACCTTCTAGTTTAGAAGAAAAAAATATCAAATTTCCCAAAATCACCAAAAACCGTTAGATTCAAAATTCAATAAAAAAATAACGTGTGCACTAATCGGACTGAAATAAAATTAAAAGAAATGAGGGAATCAAGATTTACAAAAAGACAGAGTTTTTGTTATTGACGGACGAAGTAATCCTCAATAAATTCAGTAATTAGGCATTAAAAATTAAATTTAACCCTCAAGAAAGAATCATGATTGGGAGGATACCCAATGTCAAATTTTGAGGGTTATTCACTCAGTTTACAGTGGTCTGATACAGAGTTGATTAATTTGAATATGCAACCTATTGCGTAAGCGATTGCGGATCTAGAGGAAATTAGACATCTTCTTGCCCTTGTCGAAGCTCAGCCCGTCATGTGAAAGAACGGTTTATCCAAGTATTGTAACCGCAATAAACTGATGTGGCGAGCAATTGGTGCACAATTGCATTCTCCACGTTCAAGTACTAATTGTAGGAGCGCAAAATGAAAATCTGATCAGTCCACATGGAGAATGATAACCACTTTTATTTCGAAAATGGTATTTAACGTGGTGCATTTTCATCGCGTTGAGGAATAGCCAACTGGAGGCGAGCCGTATCAACCCGGACGCACCGTTCATTCTTAAAAAGGAACTGATGGTTTTAACTGAAGATGATGATACCTGCCCGATCACCTCACCTTCTCCACCATCTCTCCTAGCAAGTCCCCTTCTGGAAAATTCTGAAACCATGAATGAAGTCCTCGTCATTGAGTACGAACACGATGAATAGCCCTAATTTCTAAAAAATTCTTCAATGGATATAACGATTCTCTTTAGAAATATTGAGATTTTTTATATTGAAAATACTCCACAATAAATCAGAAAATTTACAAAATTTGAGATTTTTTTAAATTGAAAATTCTCTACAATACGTTAGAAAATTTGGAAATTTGAGTAGAGGAAATTCAAGAGAAAATATTTCAATAGAAACAGTATAGAAAAATCAAATTCTATTGATTTTTTCCGCGAATTATCTATAGAAAATATTCTATAGAAAATTTGCGGTTTTCGATCTTAATGCGGATCCTTATTTGGGAGTCTATTGTTTGACATCCACTTTGGAACACAGAAATTGCTTTGATGCATACTACACCTTGTTAGGTGTTCAAATGTCTCGAGCTCATTTTTTTCCATTTTCAAATTTTTCCATTTTTATTAATAGAAATTGAATCAATTAAGGCAGTCGTCGCTACGCAGTTCTCGGCATTCGTGACCTTAGAGCATGGAGAAGGTTCATTCGACCGTGGTATCAACATAAAGCGCCAACTCTCCGCAATGAGTCTTTCAAAAAATGCGCCAAGTACAGTGGTCCTGACAGTGGTTTTCTGAACAATTTTTTTTAAAGAACCACTCGTATTGACACTTTTTCATTGACTTTGTGTGGATAACCATACTTTTTATGGTCGTACCCACTCCGTAACTCATAGGAATAGACAATATTGAGTTGGAATTGATGAGTTCAAACTTATATAACTTGCAACAGTACAGCCAACTGTAGAAAAAAGCTGAAATTGTGTCTAGATGTTATGAAATGTTCTCTCGTTTCTCAAAATGATAAGTTCAACTTCATTAACTTGGCGCTGTTCCTTATTCCTGCCCTTTTCTCAATTTCCCAGAAACAACTGTCCATAAATAAGTACTCGAGCATTTTTCCACAACAACGCATTGAAATGGTTATCCAGCATTTTTTAATTTTTTTTTCTGTGAAACCATACAATTTTTTTTCGGAGAAATACTACAATTTTTTTTTTTGAACAATAATACAATTTTAAAAAAATACAATGATTAGAAAAATGCACTTGGCCGGGTTTTTCAAAAAAAAAATGTTTTTTTGTTTTTGGCGAATTTCAATCATTTTTTCAAACCGAGAGAAAGAAATTTTCAGCCCCCATGCTCACAAACCGAGTTGCATAACATATGAATGATATCACAAGGAAAGACTCCAGATAATATGCAAATAAACAGAAGAGACATACTGTAATTAAAGAAATTAGAAAAACCAAAATGAATTACTATGAGGGAGAAATAGACTTTAATAAGAATAATAGTAAAAAATGTGGAAAACTCTAAAAATGGTTATGAAGGGTAATATTGATAGTGAATTGCCAGATCAATTAGCTGTTAACGATCATACAGTCAAAGGGGATTTTGAAATTGCTAATGCACTTAACAATTACCATATAGATAGCATTAGTGAAATTATAAATAGCATCGAACAGAAAGAAGTAGTTGTAGATGAAATAGAATATGACTGTAAATTTGAAAAGTTCCATTCAATTTCAGCAATTGACTCCAATAAAATTGTTAAAGAGTTAACAAATAAGAAAGGAACCAGTGAAGGTATATCCACAGAAATAATACAATTAGCTAATGAATCTGTGGGTAATGACCTTCGTAAAATCATGAACCAGTCGATGGACGACGGGTGTATTCCGAGTAAATGGAAACACTCTGAAATCATACCTATTCCTAAAGTAAAAGATATAGTTAAAATCGAAGAATTTAGACCTATAAATGTACTCCCTCAATATGAAAAAATTCTAGAAAAAATCGTCGCAAAACAATTGATTGATTATTTTGAGAATAATCAATTATTTCTTGACGAGCAGTATGGTTTTCGACGAAATCGTTCATGCGAAAAAGCAGCTTAACAGCTGATATCTGACTGGAGGGAAAATATTAGTAATGGAAATATTGTGGGAGTAATATTTGTTGATCTAAAAAGAGCATTTGAAACAGTTGATCGAAAACTATTGTTAGAAAAAATGAAAAAATATGGAATAAAAGGCAAGATTTGGGACTGGTTCCACTCACATTTATCTGGTAGAACACAAACTACGTTCTAGCGATCTGGTAAATCGGAAACAATGCAAGCAACGACAGGAGTTCCACAAGGTTCTGTTCTGGGACCTATATTGTTTCTGATTTACATAAATGATATTGTGCGTATGAGTCAATTGAAATGCGAAATTAGGTTATTTGCTGATGCTATGGCTATTTTTATACATGAAGAAAGTTCTAAACAAATAGAATTGCAGCTCACATTGTCTTTACACGGATTAGAAAATTATCTGGAAGCCAATAAACTAAGAATTAATATTATGGAAACCAAATTTATGTTATTACGTCACCAAAGACAAAAAAGAGGAGAAAATATAAGGATACGCAGTAAAGATGGCACAGAATTGGAAAAAGTAGCACAAATGAAATATTTGGGAGTAATAATTGACGAGTACCTGTCATTCAAACCACATCAAGAGTACTTAGTTAAAAAAATAGGGAAAAAATAAGACTTTTGGACCGTTTGGGGAATGAATTGAGCATAATGGCAAGAAGTATGATTTATAAAAGCATAATAGCACCCCATTTCGAACCCTGTTCCACTATCATATTGACGATGAACCAAACAAGTTTGAATATACTACAAAAAATGCAAAATCGAGCGATGCGGGCGATCTTACATTGCAGTAAACGCACAAAAATAGAAGACATGTTGAATGCCCTCGGTTTTATGAATGTGGAGCAGCGTGTCAAATAATGTAGTGAAGTATGTACGAGGTATGAACGTGGAGCGAGTAAAAGAAACGAGAGAGGATGCAAGAGTGACAAGACAGAGAACAGATGTTCCAGTGCAGTATATGAGTATGAGCTTTGGTGAAAATGATGTCTTATATAAAGGTGTGCGGCTATGCAATGCTACTCCGAGAGAGATAAAGAATCTGTGTGACAACGGTTTCCGCCGGAAAGTGGCGTCGTATATAAAGGACAAATATCCGCTGAGGGCTACCTAATACGAAAGAATTATAAAAAGGAAATGTAGCGAGGAATCGCAGAAAGAAATGTAGCAAAAGCTAATAAAACCAATCAATCAATCAATCAATCTCTCCTTCTCTCCATCCCTCTCCCTCTCTCCCTCCCTCTCTCTCTCTCTCACTCTCTCTCACTCTCTCTCACTCTCTCTCTCTTACTCTCTCTCACTCTCACTCTCTCACTCTCTCTCTCACTCTCTTTCTCACTCTCTCTCACTCTCACTCTCTCACTCTCTCTCTCTCTCTTTT